GCAAGTCAAGGAAAGAGTGCTTCATCTCCATAAATATTCGAAATGATGAGTAAATATTGCCTTTTTTGATAAAAGATCAACAGTTTCTTTGAACATTCTTTTTGATAAGTAAGATTCTTCTCCATTGTTTGGGGCTTCTAGTGTCGCTAAATTACTATGAATTTTTTGCATTTGACTGAAATTGATTTCAAGAAACCAGTTTCAGTGTTTTCTGCTTCTGATTTATCATCAAAAAAATATATAAGCTGTCAGCAACAAACAAAAAATGTGCATTGATCCCTTCCTCTTGATTTTCGCAGTGAATTTTTGAAGGGGGAGAGGGTCCGAATTTCCTTATAAATTTCAGTTACTTACCTGTGATTTGTGGAATTTGGAATGATGGATGCGTTTTGAGCATAAATGAGATCGTAGAGGCGAGTATAAAGAATACCGAACAACACGATATGATCTGCAATGAAAAAATAATTTAGTTCAAATACGGTGATTACTGTATGCCACGCAGCACCGTATCACCTTGAAGTGATTATCTACAGTATGACTATGGTTACCTCTAAAAATTAGGAACGAATGCAGGCAATGCGAGTGCTGGTGGTTTGAGAAGTGCATTACGTGCAAGAGAGTTTAATAAGCAAAGGGTCAAAGCGCGGACCAATCAGCGCACACGGTTACGGTATCATACAGTACACACAACACGAAAATGACGTCATGCACATGCAATTGGGCAAAGCGAAAAGCGAGAACACATGCGAAAGCAGAATGAGATGACAAAAAAGAAGTGAATATGGAAGGGTAGAAAGAGGGCAAGAATGCGTGAGGATGAAATTTTCAATAAATGATTTTTTGTTTAAATTTCAAGGTCCAATATGAAAATGGGTTACCCTAGCGTACTGTGAGCTCCACGGCTCGTCAAACAGAGCCCATATCCTCGGCTTGATTTGTTGCCACTTAGATAAGGTTCCAGAATAATAATCATCTTCCCAACCGAATTTTTTTGCAATCTGAAATTTGACGGATTAGATGGTCCCCTGATTTTTGATACATTATCATGGACGAAATGATAGGAAGGGGATTATCATCAGGCTTTGATAATTCTCCAAATTTCTATAAGCTATGACAAATTTGGAATTTTGATTTATCGCAGACTGTAATACTTCCTGTAAGTGGGAACTACAAATCTTTCTTGGTACGGTAGAAGTACGGTCACTCCAGTCACAATAATAGCTATATGTGTTCCGCATACCTCCTCTTGTGTTGGAGGATCTCCATCAAGGTCTAATGATTCTATAACTGCTAGCGTATCCTGAGTGTCCCTGAAAAAGTCAGCTATCAGAAAAATAACATTTTTTATCCACTTTTTTGTCAGTACCTATGTTGTGTGTAAGTCATCCAACAGCATGGTTCCACCTGTATCAAAATTTAGTTAAATCTGATGAGAAGTGCAATTTCTTGTGGAAACATACTTGATTAGCGTCTAATCCCCAAAACTCTAGCTCTTCTTCGAACAACGGGCCACATACATTAGTGGGATAATGAAGTTTACCTAAAATAGCATTCATTTTTGTGTTCATGGTATACAAAGTGTGGTTTATTTTCGCAGCGACAAGTGAGTTACTCGTTTTCAGTAAGACTCTTTTTACAAATACCTGCGCACATAAGTATATTTTAAGACAAATATCGCGAAATTCAAGTAAGTTAAACCCCTTTTTCATAGTTTCCATGGAAATTCGGTGATCTGTGGCATAAAGTGGCTGAGTAGGAATTGGAAGCTCAGCTATTTTTAAATGCACCCTCAAACTTTTGTTCTTTCTGCAGAAATTGTCGTTCAGCGCCTTATAGTGGCAAGAACCCACAAACACACCCCATTTATGAACGTACTCTTGTTTTCACAACATTTTTTTGCGACAAACACATAATCGCAAAACAATGGATGTTTGTCAGTTCCTAAGCTAGAATGTCCCAAGAGACGTTGAACGCAATATTGATATAAAAATAGAATTTTCAATGCTGTCAAAAAATGCTGAACTTTTAGTCCTATTTTATACGAGTATCACTTTTACTTGCGCCTACTATGTCACATTCGCAATGACAATAATGTCAAAAAAGTGGGCAAGTTTTGAATATGAAAAAAAATTTTGGAGCAAAAAA